TAGGCACTTGACTGCCATCATGCTGTAATAGAACTAAGCTCAGCTCAGCTACTCATACGTACGCGGCGCGAAAATCTGCCAAAACTCTAAAACTACATTGACGCAACGTATCACGCGACGATACGGATGGGAAAAATTCGGCTTGCCAAAAGTCTCCATTGATTTTCAGTTAACGTGTGTTGTTTTTGGGGAGGAAACTCGTATCATTTCTGAATTAAATTCAACTGTAAAGTTGTACCTATCATTTCTAAATTTAAAGTAAACTATAAGTTGTCCTCTATCATTTAGATAGATCATTTAACAGTGTATAGTTAGTCCTATAACATTACATAATACATCTCGCTAGCTGTAACATCAGTTATTATACTGACTAGGTCTTCAGGGAATTGACTTTTTACTTAGTTGTCTATTTTTGTTTATAGTTGGTTTATAAGCCAAGAATAAAGTCTATTGTTATTTCACTTGGCACCTCTACCATGTCATCAAATCTCTTAGATCCCATTGTTATACACATTCTATCATTATCTACTGTTTTTAAACGAAAGACTATTTCCTGAGATTAACTTTTAGACATCTTTTGATTTGGGTTGTAACTGATGTAAGAGGTTTGTCTTTATTAGCATCTAAACACCTCCTTTTCATCCTGGACGTTAAACCCCGTCTTTGTGTGTCCCGTGACGTTAAAAAGATGAATGGTGCCTTCACCTAAAGTTTCATTTATATCTCAAAAGCCTACTTCACTCCATCTAAGTCACTGTTTAGCTACATCTTCAGATTGTATAACTTTACTATTTTCTCAAGTTTAAAATGTTATTTTACAATCTAAATTTGTCCGAAATGTTTCAAGACGAATCTTCTCAATGGTATATTAGCTTTTTCAGAGCTTTTTACATTTAAATATCAATGAAATTCAGATGATAATGTTGTGAAATTCCTCATCAATGTCCAATATTTCATCCTGTTTGAGTGTCAGAGAAGAATACAACGACGAAGGTGATGGTCTGTGTAGTAATTTTCTCATGAAGATTATCGCAATAGTTAATCTTAATCCTTATCTCGGATAGTGTGGTATCAGCTTTATAAAGATTCATTTACATGTGTTATTTAACTTTTAAATTTTGCCCAAGAATAGAGGGCAGGGGGACGTGATACTTTTGTAAATGTGGGTTACCTTTTATTAACCGTGATATGCAGCCTATTTATTGGGTAGTTTGATGATACACTATCCATTTTTCTGAATCGCCATTTTAGCATTCATAGCCCTTCAAGGCTATTCAATCTGACCTTCGATGTTGTGAAAGTTCAGCATAGCCTTCATGGAACTTCTTGGCAGTGAAAGATTATCCAGAACTTATTGGTACTTCCAGGTAGTGAAAGTTAATCTTGACCGCCATTGAACTTCTTGGCAGTGAGAGATCATCTGGAATTTCATGGCACTTCCAGATAATAAATTTTGATCCCCATAGCACTCCCTGACAGCAGTGTTTATCTTGACCATAACAACCAGGGTGTGACAATGATACTATCTGTATACATTTAACTTTCAATAGGTAAAACTTACAGTGGGGATGACTAATTTCCCTATTAGCATAATATTTTATTTATTCTTGATCATTCTTTGAACTTTTAACAGTGTAATGAATATAGCTAGATTATGCACAGTAACTGACATACATGCAGTTACGATTTGTGTGGGATATAAATGAGATATGTATATTTATGAAATACGTGACAGATTTAAATCATCTTAAGTCCATGTGAATAGGTTGAAAAGAAGAAATCTTTTTTAAAAAAAGAAGAAATCTTTTTTAAAAAAAGAATTGTGTCAAGTGAATTATAAAGCTTGAAATTTATTGATACAAAAACACATTCTTCTGTCTTGTGGATTTTTTTCTTGGTTACGATCCCTTTTCCCACAGATGATCACACACCTGATAAATTAGACTATAGCGAACAGATAAATTAAGGGTCAGCCAAGCAGAAAACAATTCAAGGTCCCTTCAATGAAAGACCGGTCGTGGGCGATTGAATCGAGAGCATCTCTAAATACCCATTGGTTGAAGGCTCAAATTGATTGTGATGCTTGACTAGTGGGAGTCAAAGTGAAAATCTCGCCTGATTTCTAACCTTTTCTTGTCGATAGACACAAATATTTTCACAAAGCTGCCCTCATATTAGAAAACAGACATGATTTCTGTATCAAATGTTAACTAATTTGAAAAGGTGACAGTTCACAGGTCGAACTCGCGGTTTGATATCAGTTTTTCTCAGGGTTATCAAATGTTTGAAAACTATAGAAAGTAAAAGAATATGTTATAGACAGTTACGTCACGTTATTTGGGATCATAATTTGATGATAATGTAAATGATGGTATATTATGCGAGAGTCAATGATTCAGTAACACTACATAAACAAAGTAATAGTGTGGTGTTATAGATGATGAGATCATTTAGAAATTGGTTTAAACTCTACCATGATGAGTTTATTGATAATCAGGGCCGGTTTTGGCACATTTGACCAATTTTCCCAAATTGGGTTCCGCACTAGAAAGAGGCCCCGCAGCTCACCAACTTAAAAAAGTTCCAGGTAATCTGGCAGGAGGGCTGCTAGGCGTGGCTATTTCCAGGTATTAATCAATTACTATAAGTAAAGCATAGTTGGCATTGAATATGCATTAATATAGGCCTAGTTAAAGTTAGTGATACCCTGCAATGTATTCATATCCTGTAACGTCGGACCTCCCAAACTTGGTCCCGCATTTTCTACAACTGGCCCTGTTGATGATCCTCCTGTGCACACTTTATCATCTATTAATTTTCTAATTTCAGTTCGTGGAAAACACAGACTTAAAAATCGGGTTCTGTTTTTAATATAGTTAAACACTGATTTCTAATCGCGATTCTTTAAGGTTACTGAAAGGCGAAGTGTTTTATTTTGTACATAATGTAGATTTCGCATTCTATAACGAATAAGTAATAAACTTGAATTTTCCTCACTGAAACTTATCAGTCGATAATTCCTCAGAATTACAGAATTATCAAATTAAGCCAATAACATCAGAATGAGATGTGTTAACAATATTATATAATATTACTATCTATGACAAACACCCAACACATAGTCCAAGAAATCGCCAGTTACCTCCATTTTTCCCCTTTTGTTTGTTCATCTGGGGTGGTTATAGGGGAGTTCATCATTCAGCTTTGTTCTAAGATTAGATGGTTAATAGCATCTAATCTGAACATTAAGATAGACAATTGAAATTGATGCCAGTTTTCTGGTAGTTATAGACCCTGTTCTGATAACAGTCTTGATAATTCTATCTTAGAGGAAGCTCAAGTTTTTTCTGTATTAAGACATAAGCAGATGTAACTTGGCAATAACTTATGTTCTTTAAACGTGTTTGTAAAGATCAACGACCCAAAGAGTATGACAAACTTTGGAATTATGGAAGGGCGTATAATTTTTGTCACAATACATCTACTTGTCTTGTTCTCAAATTATTTTCTTTTTACATTGATGTAAAGAATAAGTTTGTATACGAAGATTCAATGTTGTAATAAAAAAGTCAAACAACCAACCGAGTTAAGGAAGACGGGCATATTATGCCATGGAGTGTTCCGTTTCCACCTGCTCTTCATTGAATTCCAACTGCCGGGGAACAACGACCTTGTGGTACCCCCCCCCCCCCCCCCTTTGAATAACACACGAAATAATGGATTGGGGTTTAAAGTTTGGCATCACAATACTTCCGACATTTTGAGGCTATAAAGCCTATGGTATTTTATTTTTTTATGGTTACGAGTATAACAGTATAGTGCAAGTAAGACCATTTTGCCTAGACCAGCAAAAACTATACTCTTATTGTCAATTTTGTTGGAAGATGTAGGTCAAATCTAAGCTGCACCACTGACATATAGGCAGGGCCCGTGAGAGACACGTATTGGTTCTGATTTTGTTTTATGCATGTTCTGTGGGCCCCCACCCCTTAATTCTAGGAAACTTAACAGCCCGTCGGACATATTTCGGGTACGTGCACGGGAACTGGTGTTTTGCATATAAAGACCAAAATATCTGAGGTTAAGTGGTCTCTAAGACGAACGAGAAAATCGAATCAAGAATTTCTACTGCTTTTAAACTCCCATAGATCAACATTGATTAGCTTCATAAGCCGACAGAACGTAAAACCATGCAGGCAACAATTTTAGTTCCTTTAGCATGTAACATCAACTCATAAAACATGTGACAAGTTTGAAATCACAACTGACCATACACATAAAATATTCTATTTCAAGCGCCCAGATTGTGTAAGGAGGGTTTAATGACTGAAATTCTATTATGACCAACTGGCCACTGGTAACAAAAGCCATGGGGTACCGTACCTTCAGGACTACTGACCAACTGCTCGACCAATTTGTACCAAGGTGTTATTCAAACTGTCATAAAAACAGACGCAACACAGCCTTGTGTTTCACGTTTTACCTTTAAGCTGTCAGTTCAATGTAAATTTTTAAAAAGGGAATCTTATCAGTTTTAACTGGCATCATGAAAATAACCTTCGAAATAAAACGATAAATTTTTTGTTTGGCTGTATGAATTCCCCAAAGAATCAACAGAACTCTGTTGTAAATCCACCAACTTTCATTGCACCTAAACTCACTTCTTGCAAAGACAACAGAAATGTTACCTTTAATCCTTCCCCCATTTTTTATTAAAATTGATAATTGGTATGCAAACACAAATTAGGCCCATGACTTGCTATTGTTTCTGCATATTAAAATGGCAATCTAGATATATCCAGATACATATTTCAAGATATTAGCAAGTTATCTTGAAGCAGCAAATACAGTCTTGAGATCCTGCAGGGCATAGTTTAACATTTTTGTCTTCCATCAAAACCCTTTTGAAAGTGAAATATTTCAATAAGATCTCCATAGATTCGGCATAATTGATGGATTAGATTCAAGTCCCATAAAAAAGCAAACAATGAAATGATTTTTGTAAATTTGGTTGTCATTTTATTTCATTCTATATATTACATTTTTTTGTTGAATAAAAAACATAGTAAAATAACCCATTACAAAAAAAAGATAAATCACTTGTTGCCTTTTTTTTATTTAAAGACATATTGATGTGATTTAATTCTATTGGTGCATTTCATTGATGGTGAATAAAATACCCTCAAAATAATTACAACAGTTGTATAAAAATAGTTTCTTTTTCATAAAATAAGAATAATATCTGGTAACCAAAAACAAAAACTGGTGAGAATATTGGCAGTGTTGAGTTATAGAACACTTTTATAACAATATAAACCAATCATTCACAACTCACAACTAACATTCATAAACATTTAATCACATGTAAAATACAGCAATTTACTAAACTCAAGTCTTAAAGTGACTGTTTATTGTTTTTGTCGATCTTAAACTATATCAAATTTTAAATTCCTTTGTATTAATAAATCTCAAAATAGTAGAATTCATTGATGACAAATGTCAAAAATTTTTAAATTCAATATACTTGAGTTTATCTAATTTTAAATCAAATAACTATTTTTAGTAAATTTCTACCAGGTATTTTGCAACTATTTTACATGGTGCACATTACAATTAATCCTGAAGATGTTAGAATATTGTTATACAGACAGTGACTAGTATGTATATAATGTTAGTAAGAAACATGACAACATATTCTCCAATGTATTAATCATTTATACCAAGGGTCAGGATCTTGTTGGGACACATTTTTTAATTCTTTCAGACAATTTTTAACTTCATACAACTAATGCTGAACAATAATTAAGGCATATAATATGTTATACTTTAATCATTCATATTATAATAATATTCAACATTAAATAGTCGAATTAGCCAATTCAAAAAACCAAAATTATTTGAAGAAACTAGATATTAACTGTAAATTATGTTTCTAAAAAGATTCATTTTATGTATTGTTATTAATGAACCTGTATGAACTCTTTGAATACATATATTATGAAATACAGCGACATTTCTCTCTTCATTCACTCTCCACAACTATTCTACCGTTTATACAAAATACTTTTATATAAATAAGGTGGGCATTAATGTAGGCAGTAGAAAATTCATCTCTGGGTACATGGTGTGTTTTGGCATAATTTTTTTTTTTTGACAATTTTCAAATCTTACAATGATAGATTTAACTATTTTTTTAGGCAATTTTTAAATCCAATTTTTTTTCCTAAACTAAACAGCTGTCTTCAGACATGCGTGTACCTGCATACCATAAGAAATTTTCACCATCAAGCCTAGAATAATTCCTTTAAAGTATTGAACTTAAATAAAAAGATGCAAGAATTCAATGATAGAGGAATTGTAATGTGAGGTAAGAAATAAACCAATAGTCTACTTACTAATACTACTATTGTTGATTCTACAGCTATATAAATACAATCAGTTTTTTTTTACATTTAAAATTAAATTATTATCACTTATGACAGTATAAATAATGAGATTATTACTTATAATTATAATATTGTAAAATTAGTAATGTGATTATTACACTTTTATTAACATAGTGTAACAAGATTCACTCCATTTTTAAAAATTTCTGGTATTAACCAAAAATTGGTTAATTAAACAAGAGGAATTCAGACCAGAACTACGGTGATTTTGCAAGCCACAGGTCCAAAACAATATTTGTTATACATGTTAAATATTATCTTTATTCGGGTCATATCATTCAATGGTCATGAATGTCGGACTAAGATATTGGTCTGAATATCTCTTGATTTAAACACTAGAGCACTGTACAAACTGAACTATATTATTTCTTTATATACACAATAATAACGTTATTATAGTTCAGATCTACTTCTCATCTTAATATATTACTATTAATGTTGAAATTATCTTAATTCTTTTGTAAGATTTGAATCGTGTTAGAATGTTCCATCAACAAATCCTAAACTCGACTCAAATGCAAAATGGTAGTAGTTATTGCACTGACATTTATTGCTAAATGAAAATATTGTATTCGATGTTAGAATATCACAAAGTTTAAAAGAAATCAGACGTGTTATTATATAAATAGTGGAGAATTCATCACATATTTTCATCACAATTTAAATAACTTCTTTAATCTTTAAATTGTACTGATCGTTAATACTTTATGTAAATACAGGGTCTTACAAATTTATTCTCCATACATAAGTTTGTGGAGTTAATAGGCAGCATATTTAGGACACTACTAGAAATATATGATTTACAACCACATATATCAGTTATACAATGTTCAAATATATTATAATATTGCAAAAAGAGACATTGCACATGTCAACATTAATTTTATTTTTTTCGCCATTTTTAAATATATTATGATATAGGTTCAATATATCAATACAAGGTATACAGTGACACACATACATAAATGATTTCATATACACTAAATGTCTCTCACTTCAAATACACAATACAAGTAAGCAATATGGTCATTCAACATCTGTCTAACTTTTTCTTATAAAAAAGTCTTTTCACTGAGATCAAAGATGGCAGTGTAATTTAAATATCTATATTACAATTTTAAAATGTCAAATTGTCTTTTCTTCATTTGTGTCTTTATGGAACAATATCTTCCATTAAAATTCATTTTTAAGAAACCATCTTTAAAAAAACGCTCTCTCCTCCATGTACATTAACTTCACTTCTGTTTTTTTTTGTATTTTTAGTATTTATATAGTCATTGTGGTTTTGATTTTCCCTGCCATTTTGGGAGGTTTTCCCGTCGTTTGAAGCACAAACACAAAAAAACTGTTCAGTCGGAGCAAAGCAGATATCTTTGTACAGCACTGATAACAAAATGTCTTTACCCAACGACTAGGAATAGCACAGAACACGTCCAATCTTCAAGAAGTCCATAATAACACCGGCTGAACAAGGACGATTTGATTTCATGTATTAGGAAGCTTCGTAACCTTGTTTATATGTGTTCGTGGGTAAAGGTTTTTTATCACTCTGTGGAGGTGTTAATAATGTTATAATTCGTGCTGCCACATCAGGATCAGGACTTCTTCTACCACTCTCATTGAGCATTTCTTCTTGGCGGGTTTGAGCTTTTTCCTACAAAACAAAGACCATCATATAAATTAATAAAAGGAGGTGGCTCAGTTCAAAAACGACTTCTTCCAAGCCCATTTTCTGGAAATATTATAGGCTGTATGTTAGGACACCTCATTACTAAATTACTGTCAATTATACTTTTTGTTTACATATAAGCATGCACCACATTGAGACCGACAAAGTCCAAGAATTTGAACTTACCAATAAAGCTACAGTAACAGAATGTGTTTGTATATTGTGACTATCATCAGATGCTACAGTAGAGAAGAACTTAATTTCTAATGGTCCAGCTTCTCTCATTGTTACAGCAAATGGTGCCATCCATTGTACACAAGGTAAAATATCTGGCCACTTGAAACCTAAAATAGAACAATTCAGTTTGAATAAACAAATTAAGACTTGATCTCGATAGTTCCTTCCTCATTTACATCTGAAGACTAATCATTTTTAATACAATGTTATTGTTCTAGATGGGGGTTTCTGTATAATTATGCCAAGGGCTTTTTTGTCGTCCTATCTAAAGAAATTGACAAGTTTCTTTGCAGTTAATACCTCTCCAGCAGTTTGGTACAGGTTATTATCTCTACTTGTAAGTAATCACAAAACCACTTTTAGACCCGTCACGTAAAATTGTATTTAGACCCCTATCTAGATAAATGATTGGTTAAATAACTTAGGCCAAACAAATCTTATATTAATATCAGAATTTCGAGAACATGTAGGTTTTTTTTTTCAATTTCAAAAATTACATATCTAATATAATATGTAAGAGCTTTTGAGAACAATCAACATTTTTTCCAAACAAGTGGAAATATTCAACTGGTGTGATACATGAAATGGTATTATAATATTAGTAGTACAAACCTGATACAGATAAAGCTATTTCTTGTGATGACATATGGTAAAGAGCAGATGCTGCTACAACACTATAGGAAAACTGAAGACATCCAATATCTAACGTACACAAATCAAGCAACTACAACACAGAAATAATAATGGATGATGATTTGTGAAGCATGAAAATACACAGCAACATTTAAACAAAAACACTTGTCCATAAATAAAAATTATGCTTTATATAGTAACAGATTTCACTGAAACATCCATGGATAATCTCTTTTATTATTGGAGTCAAAAATAAAATTTGTCGATTTCATTGAAATTTAGGTATTTATTTGTCTAGTGGGGCGAGCTCTTCGTTGAAAATATTATATCTACACTGGCAATACATTAAAGTAAAATTTTTAACTAAAATCAGCAAACAAGACAGCTGATTCTTAATTTTTCGAAACAACAGTTTAATAGAGCTTGCCACACATCAGATCAAGCCTTATTCAATATTTTATTTTAACTTAAAAACTGTTTAGCTACTGTAAAGTTTCAAGGAAACTTAAAATTAAAATATCAATACACAAACAAACAGTTACAGAGAAAATAAGTACATTTAACATAAGCACTGGCATTCTCAAAATCACATTTAAAAATAATACAACTTACCCTTGCTATCTGTACAAAGGAATGACCAGAAAATTGTGGATAAACAAAACTATGTTCAGTTTCATTAATTTGTTCTAAATTTGAAACTTGTAGATAGATTCCTAACCAGTTATTAACCGTCATAGGTGATAAACCCCACCTTAATGACTGAAAGAAAAACAATAGGCTTTATGAAAAGAAAATCATCAATGCAGTCATTCTAAATAATGGATGATGTTACATATCTTCTCCTTCCTTGCATTGGGACAGAATATATATTTTCTTTATAGTTGACCAACAATCAGTAAATTTAAGAAGTCATTTCCATATTTCAGTACCTACCTTTAACATAACTAATTCTTGATCTAATATTTCATTTTCTGTACAAGCACCATCCGTAACATATGCAAAATCTGTTAACTTAGGTGGATAAATTTCCTAGGGAAAGAAAAGATACAAGAAAATAATTTTTATGACTTTAAACCTTATATAGCCAACAAAATGTAATGAACTTTTTTTTAAAAAAATACATAATCGATTCAGTTATGAATGCAAGTCCTTATCTAGTTCAAACTGTACTTACTTCTAATTTAGCTGCTATAAATAAGGCTGTAATTCCTATTAACTGTAACTGATGTTTAAGAACATTATGTTTCTCAGACATATATCTATCTAGAAAATCCATAGCTAGATAATATGTTTCTCTATGTAACCTATAAACTTCACATACCTGAAAAATACATTGAGATAAGCTTTATGTTTGATTAACATTCTTCAACCAAAAGATTTTAACTCTGTAAAAATGTTTACATCACTACCATAATGTGAAAGGAAACTTGGAACAGAAGTACAGTACTACAATCTTATGAGCCTTTTGAATTGTCAATGCTTATTCAAATTTTAGAGGACAGAGTCAAACTCTTTCTACTGTGTGTATATATATATATATATAGAGAGAGAGAGAGAGAGAGAGAGAGAGAAATAAAAATTAAAGAGTTATCTATTTTCCAGTCACAAAGTTTTTACCAGATACAATAATTCAGAAAACAATCTCCTAATCAAGGAAAACTAAAGTTTAATATTAAGGGAAATAAGATCAGAAATTAAGTGTAGGCATTAATTAGGTGAATAAGATTAATTAAGCAACTTACTTCTATTAACCAGTCTAATAAAATAGTTCTCATTCTACTCTGTAACGCTGGATGTCGATCAAACATATTCGTATCTCGAACATAGAATTCTTCTTTCTTTAACATTAGCTGCCATACTTCTTTAGAATCAGCCCAGCTGAATTTAGGTAGTGGTGAAAACCGTAATGATTTAGGTGTGGTGAAGTAGTTCTGAAAGCGGAACTGTGCACCTTGGAAAAAGTCTTGGGGTGTTGTTTCTTCGACACTACTGTGATATTCTACAGAATCCATGGCAGGAATTATAGAACACGATGTCACAGAAGAATCCTCAGAAATTGGTATCCATTGATTCTGTAAACACAAAACAAAGACCATAAATTTGCCAGAAAACACAAATACATAAAATTTCTTTCAAATGAACTAATAGTACCTTATGATCAGATGGGGGTAAAAAAAGTTTGATAAATCTTATATTAATTAAGAGACTAGGAGTAGGATAGGGTGAGAGACAGGTGTCAATCAGAATAGCATGATCCAACTCAAGTCATCTAAACTGTCTATAAGTCTGTATAGAGTTTACATACATTATGTAATATAGTGTAATACCATGTTATAACAAACTAGTCAACCTGTTTTCACAATCTGATTGATGGACTCCATTAAACTTCAACCAACAAGAAGTATGGCTCATATCAAATCTTACAGTCTACATGCCATCTTCGCTTGACAAATTGAGACAAGTGGCTTCCAATTTAAAACTTAAAGACAAAGTTTGTAATTAATTAATAGGAAAGTTGTGTCATCAATGACATCATATGGTTTTTGTTCAACTTGAGAGTCACTTTTCTGACAGTCACTTTAGACTCATGTTACATTGCTACCTTTGTTTAATTAACTAGTCATTGATCAATATTTCCATTCATTCAATCAATCAATTTAATAGTAAACAGTAAGAGTTTTTACAGGTTAAATAATAGCCACAGGTAGCAATTTTTTTCAAAACTAATTGGTTTCAATCAACATCAGATTTATAAAATGCATATTTTGTGTGATACAAATTGCCTAAAGGAGCACAATCTCAAATATTCTTAATGATAATCTTCATGTTTTGTTTTTTTTACACAAATTCAAAGCACTAAGTTCAGAAGATGTCTATCTTTATGATTAAAGTGTCATGAATTATATTAAGAATGGGATTACTAGTCAACAAGGTTCACTATGTCGCTGTCTTTCACAATACCTATTAGAAAATGACCAGTGCAAATAATATAAATTGATGACCTGATTAGAACCATAATGCAAAAGTCAATGACAAGACACAAACAATGTCAAGTTTGCATATTTTAAAACCCACTCATCCCAAGCATGTCCTAAAATGGCTGAAATGACCCGAAGAGGGCTTTGACCAATACATACCCCTTCAAAGTGGACAACAAGTGGCCAGCTTGCAGGTCAATGTTGTATTTAGTCTATGCATGAAACTGGACAGTGGCCTGAATCCCACATAAAGGGTAGTTAGTGGACAAAACCCTGTGAAACAGTTAAAAGGATAAAATATGGAGGAACAGGTGATGATGTGATCCACCTGTCACCCCAGTTCAACCTGTTCTATGCTCTTAAGCTGATCATAAAACCAGTCACACCTCACCTAACTAATAATTACTCATGTATTAAAACAATCACATAAAACTTCTTGTACCAACGCCACTACAAGTACTAGAATTTTTATAGTTATTGCTTGAAAATAACCAAATTAAACAGTTCAGTGGTTAGGTAATGAGCTATGGAAAACCCCTCTCCCTTTTGAAATCTAAATCGGAAATGAAAAAAAAAAAACCACAATACCTGGAAGTTCTGCAGATTTATCAAATTCTATAGACTCAAAAGAAATTTTTGTGAGCTAAAGCTTTGTCAGTGAATGATAGTGCCAGCATTCCTTTACACTTCAAGCCTTACTAACAGAGCAGACTGGAGATTTTAAAGCTGACACTAATGAGAAGAGATGGGATAAAGTGAGCCATTCAAGCATGACCATTTCCTATCCCAACTGACCATACACTCTCCATCAATCTGACCACTGGCTATTAGCATTACACACTGACCTATACCTTTACATTCAAGACCAGAAACACCCCTTTCTCCCTGCTTTCGGATTATGATTTCCAAAGCCAAATCCTTTAATACAATTTAAGGGATTAACTTTTCTGGGTGGGATCTTGATGGTGTAACATATCTGACAAGATAACTTTACAAGAAATATGCCATCTTTTATCCAACGACACATAATTCATAGTGATAGAAGGTGATAAAAGACACACACCCATCATTTGATTACAATTTCTGGGCATTAAACTGGATGAAACTGATAACAAGGATTAGCAAACCTGTCTCTTCAATGATTTCAAATATGTTTCTGGTCTTACATCATTTTCTCAACACATCAATCTGAATATATCACATGCAGAAATCACCAGAATTATAAGCTTATGTATGATAACTCCTGGTTAACCTCAAAGCTAGAACAGTCAGCAGGTTTATGAGAGCAATAATTACCCTTATTTCAATTATAGAAGAACCAACATCATCTAGTTAAGATCAACTTCTACAAATATTCATCATGATGAAGTGTTTTACTGCTAGTATAATTTTGTGGACAAATATCAAATTTATGTATGTATCTCCCTTAGACAAATGGAACAAGAAAGTCCATAACATACATGTATTATCCCTAAGAACTACTCCCATTTCTAACTGACCCACCTAAAATATAACAGATTTAACACATCTTTTTAGATTAGATTGACTGGATACTATTTTGATTTTTATTTTAGTAAAAAAAAAAGTCAAAAAAAAGCTTTATGGTCCTGGGACCCGAAAGATGGTGAAAACTTACTGACCTATGTAGTATGTTTGTTGTATACAGTGTTCAAGTATCATACTGGTATAATTACTTACTATCTACAGGTATCTGTATTTATCTAATATACCCCTGATACTTACATAATAATACTTATAAATTATAGAGGGATTAAATTAGTATCCTGTATCTTAAGTCTAAGGGTACCCTTCAACTTAAATTTACAACAAACTGTTTGTACTTAAGCTAATGTTAAGTGACCAGTCCTGTACAATCTGGGCAAGGTGTTATTAGCCATCTGACAATAAAACTATTGTTTTACCAACAGCAGGTTTTTAATCCGTATATTGTAACAATTAAATAATACCACCCATGGCTCCTCTCAAATCAAAATGTGTCCCCTTTTGTTTTAGGCTCATTATCAGAAAATCCCCTACCCATTAAAGCCCCAGGGATCCGACACATCTGACCAACATAGAATTTGTAAATAAAAGAGTGTTATTGAGTTTCAGAGGACAGTGAAGGAATCTAGTAGTTGTACATGCAGACCACTTAAACAGAGTGAATACAAGCAAGGGTCACTCACTCTAGACTGTACTGTCCAGCCTAGTAATCTAAAAATAGCTCAGATGCACTTTCAACAGTCCCCATTATATTTCATCAAAGGGATTCTGGAGTAATTGTACAATGATGTGTTAAAGGCTATAAAAAGAAACAATAACATCATTTAAAGCTTTTATCAGGTGGCACCAGAAACTAAAACTCCTGCTTCACAAAGATTTTATATTTATTTTGGGGATTTTATCTGTTTACAACTTTAAAAGACTTAAATCCAATATTTAAATCATGGTCAAACACCACCCAAGCCATAGATCAACATTACTAGAATACTATCCCCACGCTCTATTACTGTTTGAAAAAAGTTCCAAGAACAAAAGAAACGTAAAGTAATAAAGCACACATTACACAGGTTATGTTAACAAGTTATATAATTAAAAAATCTTAATAATCAATCAAGCCGTTCTAATGTCCAACTCTCCTCACCCCTTCATGACCTTTCAAGTGTTACTAAAATTGTTACTTAAACTATAAAACAAATAACTATATTTTTTCTTAATTTTACATTTGTAACATTGACTTGCATTTGCTTGCAACTAGATTAATGAGCCTGAAAAGAAAATTGATGACCATGGAAACTACTTTCACATGTTACAACTAGTGGAATGTCATGGATCTGACCATTCAATGACCTGGTCAAATCCCAGTGGAGGTACTGACCACATCTCATGTCTATATTTTATCTATATGGTCAACTAGTAAATTTGTAGAATGTTCTAGATTTCCAATGTTAATGTTAAATATCTGAGAAATCAAGAGGCTATGAAGGGCATTGCCAATGAATTCAAGATGGCTTCACAACTCATGCTTTATCAGAGTACAGAAATATATTTTTGCAAGTTGGAAGAGAGTCGATTAATTAGTGTTTTAAAGTTTGATTAACTGCATCTAGTAATTGGGAACATAACAATTCTGTTGGACAACAATCACTGGTTTATTATACATATTGATAACATTATCATTAAGCGTAATTTTTTAAAGTTGCCAAATTTATAACTAATTTCCACTTTATACAAAAAAAAAACCACCTAAGCCAAGGAAGACGTTGAGTGACATACAATATCTGAGACAGTATCAGTTCAATTTATTTGCAACAGAAGATAAACTCAGCAATGAAGATGATGACAGACAGTAGTCCGTTTAGCATCACAGTCACAACAATCTTACTCAATTACACACTAACTTAATAACACCATTAAACTAAAAGTAGCTACCTACTTTAATCAAAATCTCATTAATAATTACTTTTAATTACACTTGCCTGAAAGACAGATCTACTAATTTTCCAATTTAATTTAATCTTGTATGGCTTGAATGAGGTAATTGCTATTAATTTGCATGCAGACCAATTTAGAAATTCACATTCTTTTATATACCGTGCTGATAAGATTAAAGAATAAGGATTTCCAAATTAGTCTGCATATAGGACAAGGCCTTTTAATCAAGGACTATTTTCTTTTTCTTTTTTTAATTACTGTGAAAATAAAAGTTTCTAAACCAGACGAAGCTTCAAAAACCTGATGAGACAAATACTATTATGTGAAACAGAATCCAGATGCTTTGTTGCTCATGAATACATTAACTGGACATATTTTGGGTCTCAAATTTTTACGAGCAGATCAAATAGTTGTAAATGAGTAAAGGTTGGAGTAATGACCCAAGCTAGATGGATCCATGCCACAAGATGGCATTATATAAGAATGTATTACCAAAATACAATCCTATAAAACTTCAATCGGAATGTTTTCAATGCGACATGAAATAAGATGTATTGTCTGCTTGGGTCTTAAATTACACCCTGACCAATAAAATAATGTTATAAAATCAACTCATACAAGCGTGCAACAACCAACTTTTTCTTCATTGGACAATTATATGTATGATTCAAATCCATGTCTCCAGACACTTGGACCAGTCTTTTTTTTTTTTACATTTAAAAAGGTGTAGAAAAAACTAATGGACAATTAACACCTTTTGTTTAATTACCACTGTACACTAATTCATTCTTCAAATTGCCAATATAGGTTAGTCTCCTCTCAACAAGCAATAACTTTGCAGTTACAAAAGGTGTTGAGCTTTTAATTATAAATCATTTGCTGTATAAACAATGGATAAGAGTGTATTAAAATAGTTGAAATAGAAGTTTAAGGCCTGGCTAAAAAATAATTACAATTCAGAACTGATGTTTCAATTAACAATTATAGTAAATATAATTTTACCAATAATTTGTAAACCTAACAATGTTGTCCAATATGTTTTTTTGTTTGTTGTTCTTTTATTTATTTTTTTTTTGGGGGGGGGGGGGTATTTTAAATTATAAATTATCTGACCCACATGCAAAAGAACCGCCTCTTTTTATTCCTTTCTTTCATTCAATGTTTACATCTTTCAACTTGGCGCGTGCCAATTTCCCCCAATACGCCATTTCATTGGTCAAAAATCATAACAGAAGCCCAGTTAATGAATATGCATGAGAAACAAACATGGCTGTACCGTTGGCTTTGCAGATTTGATTCAAGTTTGTGAAGAAAACAAGAAATAAAAGTTACAACTATTGCAAATAATATATGCAATAAGCCAACAGTGCTAGAGCAACCGTATACTATGAAATTTAACAGAAAAGCACAATAAATTAAAGTTAATAAATAAATAACCCGCGAAAAATTTCGCGCGAGTGGGAGGTCGGCCATGGCGCGAAGTTCTGCAAAATTACTTCAACTTTAACAATCAACTACTCCAAAATATCTACAAACCTGAATTTTATACTGCTGTCTTCGTTTAGATACAGCCACTTCCATATCTTCTACCTTAAATTATTTAGAAATAGTCTGTAAATATCGTTATAAATTGAACTTAGCATGACCAACAAAGACTCGACATATTCTAGTCAAATATCGAAATAAAATGTCAAAATGACAGTAAACACAAAATCGTACCTCTTCAGCTTTCCGTTTACGATTTATTCTTGTAACCGGTGCATTGTCTGTCTTAGATTTAACTGGATTTCTAGAACTGAAAATACATGAAAAATAAAAACAACTGAGGCTTTACCGGTGCACAAATGAAATGTCAAAATTTGGAGGCATTTCTCGTTCGCCCGGTTCTTTGTCAATAAAACGTATCCCGGTACACTACTTCCTACATAACCAGCATTATACAATCATGTATTTTACAAGAAAAACAAACTTGACAATAACTAATTTGTATAATTTTGAGGCATGGTTAAAAGCTAAAAAGTTCAACTTTAGGCCTACATAAATAAATGACGAATGTGTGACATACCTTTTCCTTGACATATTCCGACTGGCAGTATTTGTCTTATCTGTTGAAATAAAAGAAAGACATTTAGGCCTAAATGCATTGCTAACTATGGAAATAAGAATTCAGTTTACTAAAATAGTCCCAATATGAGGTATTCTTTCATAATTTCCACTTGCAAACTTGATCTAAACAGCCCAGCGTTAAATGATCCGGTTGACTTACTCGATCTCGCAAGAATCTTCACTTGATGGTCCATCCCAATGAAACGAGCTTTGCACAAGAAATAGTTGGATAAAACCAGGTAACGGTTAATATATATACATTCTGACCTTGTATACTTTCATTGAACACTTATCATCACACAAGATAAGCTTCTGAGTAGCTAACAATGAATTAAGAACTATCCCCACAAGCAGTCTATCTCCTATGCCAGCTGTGAACAGACTGAGGTGTCATTGCCTCGTCCCGCCAATTTAGTGTGTCACTACGCATAGCTTTGCGCATGCATTATTTCTGTTAATTTACAGGAGACATGGAAATTAATTTTCAAAATAAATATATTGGAATGGTTTCTTTGATATTTATCTCGATTATTACTAATTTGTTTTTATAATGACAAAAAAAAGCTTTTGATTGTATGCTAGTGTTATCACTTACCCGCTGTATAGTTTTAACTTCCGACGAATGCGGCGCGAAAAACAATTTTTGGCTCGAAATATATGTTACAAATTTATTTTTATATTTGCAAATATTCATAAATGAATGTATGTAGTGTCAGAAATGAAAAAGTTTATTAAAGGTGCGTATATTCGAACTCGAAACAAAACATAATAGATCTGTAGGTAAATCAGATTTTTAACAAAAGCAAATCAAGTCAAGGGTTAAAGAATAATGTTTTTAAAACGTTATTTTTGCACTAAACACATGATGTGGCACCTCAAAATAATCCTTATGAAACGAACTACAACTTTTCATTGATCGGAAGTTCCAATTTGCCTGCAGTTTTACGGATTTTTATAAAACACGATTGTAAACACACTCCATTCATTCAATCCATGTGCTCTTACTATTAACAGATTATACGCATGCTCAGTACAAGTCATTTTCTCATTTGTTAAAATTGACACCGCCCCCTTAAGTCTCGAGTTTTGTCATTTCTCCTCTCAATTGTATTAAATAGGAAATACTAAGACTTGTTGATCGAATCTATAATATTGTCAACATCAACAACAATCATGGCGACTTCCATGGAAAGGTTTATTCACACGTTTAAGCACAAATCTGCTGCAGTTATTGGAATGATACACCTGAAAGCATTACCAGGTATATTTATTTTGTAACATCTGTCTGTAAAATATCTTCATTTCACCTTATTGCATGACACCATGTGTTACAAATCATCACGAAGACTATAGACCCCTTTCACATCTACGTCACGGCGGGTGGCGCACGCATACAGGCAGGCAATATCGCGCAATATTTACAATGTCTGAATACTATAAAGGTCTAACCGACAACGATAAAAAACACGTCCCCTAGAGGGAATCGCCACCTGTCCTACACCACAAATAAAACTATTAATTAATAAATCAGGGTGATAGCGCAAAAATGTCCCCAGAAGAGGGAAACGCTACACACCCTGAAATATTCTTTACACTTTTATTTATTTGACTAAATAAGTATTGATTGTAGATCATATTAAGCCATCATATATGATGTATTATTGTATTTATTAACTCCTAATACATTTTGATTGAATGTATATCATACTAACTTGCCATAAATGCATTTTTTTTTTTTTTTTTTTTTCTTCCTCCAACCCCAGCCCCCCCCCCCCCGAAGCCTTACTAGACGAAATAAAAACAAAACCATCACAAGACCAGCTACTCTTTTTTCTCTAGCTTTCTCTTTTCAGGCGCTGGATTCTTCCTTCAGAGAACCAACAACAAAGGAATGAACAACAGAAATAATGATGAAATCAACCACCATACCGCACAACAAAACCAAATGGAAGGAAGAATGGTCCAGGCCTTACACTCACCAACAAGCCCCAAGGAAGAGTTGCACCACCCTGCCATTCAACCGGACAAATCGACCAGACCGACAAAAATGACCTAAATATATATATATATATGTACATACTATGTCTAAATGTTTGTCTCTGTCCAAATGTTCGTCCACATTCATGTCTGTTTTGTTACAAATTCGTCTGTTTTGTAAACGTCCACTTGCACCTTTTTTTTCATTGCACCTGCTATCTCATGTCTCTTGCTGTTATCTATTGTCTTCTGTACATATATATAAAAACCTAATTATCCTCTTTTTCACTAATCACATTGTAAATTATTGCACCTTGTATACATAACATGTTATTGTCTGCGATATCACCTCGGTGGAAGCGGACTTAAAATACAACTAACTAACAACAACAAACGATAAAAAACAATACGACTATAAATTAACATTAAAAAACGGAACGAAGCTTGACGACCCTTATACTCTTGTTGATGGGTGGCGCGATGACATAAAAAATCTACCTAATATTACGTGGATCAATATTACAAAATATCTAATAGAAACACCAAGTGTGTTTACACACGAGAGCATAAAGGCCTACAAATCATTAGATGGTTATAACTTTTTTAGAGAAGGCCATGTTCAGGATTGTTTTTATCATGAAACATCAACAACAAAATCGTTTTGTTTTATAAAATCAAAGGCAAGATATTGTTAGAATAAACCATTTATTAATTTTATTGTTGTGTGAGATACTCAGGGACAGCAGACTGGGATCAATCACAATGCCATGGCCAAAGCCCCAAGTCTTGTTGAGTAAATCTGACAGCAAGCAATTAATTTTGAATAATTGATGAATTTATTTCCATAAAATAAAAAGCTGGAGATATTTAGACAGAGTTTATTTTTGTTATTGTAATATGTCAGTATTACTTTATTTTGCAGGAACCCCATTAAATAATCATGGTGTTAAAGAAATTATTGATATTGCATGTAATGAAGCTAGAATATATAAAGAGGCTGGGGTAGTAAGTATATAACAATAAAATGTCGAGATTGTTAAAGGTGTTTTTTTTTTCTCTTTTCTTAAAGTATCAATGAAGGGAGTAGATGCTCTTTGCAATTAAATCTAATTAAAAAATAAACAGAAATTTTTCAGAACCATGAATATAATGCTGTAAATTATATTGAATCTGGATTTGTTACACCATATTGATATAATATGAACATGCTTGGTTTAATGATATAATCAAATAATATTGAATCTAGAATATATTTTCACTGATCTGTGATACTATCCCTAAAATATATCAAAGATTTCATTTAACATAAAGGATTAGTTGTAACAATAATTTGTTACCCCCCCCCCCCCCAACACCCCAACCCTTAATATGTGCAGTTTCCAGTATTTATGATTTCAACTATGTTTTATCAGGATGGTGTTATGGTTGAGAATATGCATGATCTACCATATTTACACACTCAAGTTGGTCCAGAAATAACAGCTACTATGGCTATTATATGTTCAGAAGTCAAAAGAGTATTTCAACCAGGTCCTGTTGGAGTTCAAGTTCTTGCTGGAGCTAATAAACATGCTATGGCTATTGCTAATGCTGCAAGTAAATATCATTTTTTTAATATATGTATACCAGTGGTATATATAATACACAATAAGTCGAACTGATGTTTTAGCTAAATCTCTAACAGAAAAATTAAACAACATTGGCAATTGTAAAGGGAAACGTCCTTAAAAAGTAAGCATGCACAGCTACTTACTTGTTATATTTTGATTGTGTCAAATGGCTACGATATAGATTAAGAAAATTAAATGTTAGATATCATCCTGGGTATTTCCAGTGGCAGCGTTCCGTTCTACTCCACGAAGCCCAGGGTCCAGTCACAGGTTTTTCACAAATTCAAATTATCTGCTCTTGATGATTCCATTGGCACGTAGTTTGATTCTTTTTACCAACAGTTTTACATACCAGTCCTAGCGTCATTGTTTATGTTCACTACAATAAAGCATATTGATAGGTCGATAAAAATAGCAAAACAATCAAGGGCAGATAACTTGACCATGTGTCTCCCCCGTGAATAGACCTAGGGGCTAGTAGAGTAGAACGGAACAATATCACTGGGGAGGCTGAGGATGGTTAGATATGTGCAGTAAATATTGCTTGTGATGGAGCATCAAGGGAGATAACTTCGTTCAATCATTGTTGTTTTGCACTAAATGTTTTATTCCCAATGACAATGTGGGAATTAGTATCACACTATAAATATGTCTGTTATAACGATAATGACATAACAGACCATTAGAAAAGTGCTATAAAGCTACACCTGTATCTATGGTAGACCTACATCAAATTGATTATAAACCATATCACTACTGAATCTGCTAATATGAAACTATCCACATTTATTTCTGTTTGTACAACACTAAAGACTTTCCTAAGATTTCCTTTCCCAGCATTATTCCCCCCTCTTTCATATCTGTGTAGGTTTACAATTTTTATATGCTAACATTGAAATGTGATCAAATATTGTTGTCACCACTTCGATGAGTTGTCCACAGTTCTGGTAGATGTTCTAGAATCTAGAGGCTAAGTTATTGCCTGATTGTCTTGAAATTTATGTTCATGTTCAAAGGATGAATAGGTTTATTAATCCTCAACAGACACTCTAAAGACTAATGTTATGATCTGATCGACTTGAAATTTATACACAATTTAGAAGTTCGCTAGACATAGAAACATTAATTTTCAACAATTAATTACCGTCAGATCATCAGATCAGTTTGAAAAAACTTGTATTCGTGTTGTTAAGTGGAGCAGATGGGTTGATTTTCAGATAAAAACACAGTATTAATTTCTAGTAAAAACTCTTTTTATCAATCAATAATACACAGTACAAATCACACAACATGCTGGCTTACTTATGTCATTGTTGAAACTGCTGAATCGTGACCCAACAGTTGATAAAAAGGCTTTAATTAAGGGATATAATAGGTGTCGATGTTAAATTATGATTACATATTTGACAAGCTTAAAGGAGAAGTTCACCCAAGCAGGTTATTTTTCATAATCATAATAAACACACTATTTGAAAAAAACTTCTGTTTTGAAGTATTAATTATTTATGAGATTTTAAAGACTCAAAAGGCTTATTTTATATGATAAAGAATCAATGGATATTGTTTTATAGACTTTGCAACTTCGATTCTTCAAGTAGCTGTTTTTATCGTGTTAAGATGCTGGGTAAGACAGAACCCTGACTTCTAAACCCAAACAAACTTGTTATATGAGAGTTATCTTGGAGGTTAATTCATGTAGTCCTGAAAAATAATTAGGGGTGGGGGGCAAATTTAAGAAGGTGGTGTATCAAGAATATTGGTTGACTGTTAGCTGTCAATTAATTTGGTATCGTTGATATCACATTGCTTTCATTGTTCAATTTTGTCTTTTTTCTGATTGAATTGTCCCAACTGCTTTCCATTATATCTATGTGTATGGTTTTGTTGTAGATTTGCAGTTTATCCGTGCAGAAGGTTTTGTGTTTTCACATGTCGCTGATGAAGGTTTAATGAATGCTTGTGCTGGTGAATTACTTCGATATAGAAAACAAATTGGTGCTGAAAATGTCATGGTATTTACAGATATTAAAAAAAAACATAGGTTGGTAATACATATCTTTATTAATTTTTAAAGTGTTATTCCTGAGGATAGTTAGAGCATATGCAGGATTTTTTGAGGGGCAAAGGGAATGTATTGGCATAAATGAAAAGTACTTTTGAGGTGTGTTTCCTTACTTGAAAAATTAATCTCTGCAATTGTTTTTGTAGGGCATCTGTTAATAAGCTTGCACATCAAACAATATGTTCAGAATTGATTACTAAAATGGTTCAACAGGGTTACTTAGTCATTTTAAGACAATCGTTGTTCATTAATGACCAAAAAATCATGACAATCACTATAAAATTTTCAAGAAGCTTGTATAGACATATGGTCATCTAGGCACTTGTGTAGCATATAATTTGAGGACTGCCCCCATATGAAAACTTTAAAGTTTTGTATTCATAAAAAAAGTGATCACAGAGCTTCAGATAGTTGTAAAGGGCAAGGATATAGGTTTTTAAGGGCGAGACTAAAGTAAGCTACCTGCCTACCACTTTAGTTGCTTTACATGTTATATCTCCTGCTTTATGATCTATTGAAATGAAATGAATGGAGATTCAGTTTGAAACATAAAATGTGACTTCAAGCACTCACAGTATTTTGATTTGTAAGTCTGCACATGAAAATAGCAGTTCCTGTCTTATTCTTTGTTGTATTTCAATCAATACACAATGATTAATTATAGATATAAGATTGCTTCTGAGTTTAATTAGTTTCTACTATCTATTATTGATATCGAGATTAGAGAATTCTACTGGGTATAATAAGGCCTGCAAATCAGTTATGAGTTTTATACCGTTGCCCCTGTCCGTCTGAACGTCCGTCCACAATTTGTTTGTGGATAGTATACAGGCCTATCTCCCTAAGATCTCTGTTCCTTTCGATACCGGCATGTATCGGACCATAACTTCATGGATTATGCCCCCTGATTGTACGAAAAATCATGCTTTTAGCTTGTGGACACTCTAGAGGTCACAATATCGACCCTATTTTGAGAAACTTGAAATACATGTTTATAACCCAAAGATCTTGGTTCCAGTCGATATTCCAGTCGATATTCAGATTGTAGCTTCCTGAATTATGGCCCTTGATTGTACGAAAAATTGTGTTTTTAGCTTGTGGTCCCTCTAGAGGTCACAATTATTATTCGATTTAAAAAAAAATAACACGTTAGAATATATCACTGTTACACTGTAATATTGGTGGAGCAAATTTCGTGAAAATCAGACCAAAAATGCCTTCCCACGTACGCAAATAGTGTTGTGGACTCTCTAGAGGGTCACAATCTTGATCCGATTTTGATGGTTCCTTTCGATAATCTCGCATATCCGAACGTAACTTCCTGGATTATGGCCCCGGATTGTTTGGAAAATCGCATTTTCAGATTGTGGACCTGATAGAAGTCACAATTTGTATACAATTTTAAAAAATTTCACCGGAGCAAATTTCCTGCAAATCGGACCAAAACTGCCTCCCCACTTACGCAAATAGTGTTGTGGCCCCTCTAGAGGGTCACAATTTTGATCCGATTTTAATGGTTCCTTACGATAATCTCGCATATCCGAACGTAACTTCCTGGATTATGGCCCCCGATTGTTTGGAAAATCGCATTTTTAGATTGTGGACCCGATAGAAGTCACAATTTGTATTCAATTTTAAAAAACGTTTAAATATATCACTGTTAAACATCAATGAAGGTTGAGTTTGAATTTCAAAAAAATCTAATCGAAACTATTGGACAAAATGGCAGCTCCTTGTACGCAAATAGTGTAAAAGTATGTAATACCAAAGTTGTGGACACAATTTTTATCCGATTTTGATGAAACTTGAAATCCAAAGATTGTGGTTCCTTTTGATATTTGCGCATTTCGGACTGTAACTTCTAGATTATACTTTATAGCACCTGATTGTACAAAAAAACACATTTTTAGCTTGTGGACACTCTAGAGTTCAAAATTTTTATCCAATTTTAAAAAACATTTAAATTTATCACCATCACACCCTAATGATGGTTAAGTTCCAATTCGTGAAAATCAGACCAAAACTGCCTGACAAAATGGCGGCTCCTTGTACCCAATTAGTGTAAAAGTATGTCGTACCAAGGTTGTGGACTAACAAGATTTTGATGAAGCTTAAAATATTTGTTTATGTACAAAGATCTCGGTTCCTGTCGCTATATGCACATATTAGACTTGTAACTTCCTGGATTTTGGCCCCTGATTTTAAGATAAATCGTGTTTTTAGTTTGTGGATTCTCTAGAGGTCACAATTTTTCATCCGATTTTAAAAAACATTTAAATATATCACAATTCCACAATAATGAAGGTTGGAATCGAATTTTAGGAAAATCAAAACGAAACTTCCCGACAAAATGGCTGCTCTTTGTACGCAAATTGTGTAGAAGTATGTAATACAAAGGTCGTGGACCCTTAAGACATCACAATTTTTATTCGATTTTGATGTAACTTAGAATATATCTTTATATCCCAAAGATCTCAGTCCCTTTGATATTCGTGTATTTCAGACCATAACTTTCTGGATTATGGCCCCTGATTGTACGAAAAATCGATTTTGTTTTTAGCTTATTCTCTATCCATCTCTTGCAAAATGTGGGCGTATCTTGCCTGGTAACCACTGGTTTAAAATGTAGTTATCTCCCTTATAACATGTTTGTTGCACACGATAGCTGCTGACTGAGTCTTGTTTCATCAGTTTTAATCTCCACCAAAAAATGTTTGTTCCTGAGATTTTCTTAACAAAAATCAGTGGCTGTAAATGATTCACTTATTTATTCAATTTAACTTCCTTAATATGAAAAAGAAAAAAAAAATACTCCATATTGTTGGGTGGGGGCCTTAACATATGGATGTGCCCATTGGTGCTAAATATCATTGGGAGCTGTGTTTCTGTAATGAACTTGTCTGGCTTCCCATGACATCATTGAAAATCATATAACATCATTGTCAATGCAATCAGTGCAGTTTACCTATCTGAGTCAAGGCTAGTAAATATATGTTACAGACCATATGCACAGATCATTATATTTAAGTATATGATTTTGGTTGCATAAAATGAATAGCACATGACACAATTATATGGAATACAAGTTACTTGTAGGGTTTTTTTCAGCAATGTTTCGACAAGGGTTCTCCCGTCTTTATCAAGCAAAGAATGACAATCATGGTACAATGAAAATATATATTTATATGTATTCCATATAATTGTGTTATTCTCATCCAGTTACTAAATGCCGCTTAAACAATTTAAAATGAATCGCTTTGCAAGAATCTTTTACTGCACTGGTATCATATCCATTTATACAATTATGTAACTGTGTATTTTGAATTTTGTTTTACCTTGTGTTTCAAGGTCCTTGACTTGTGTTGGATTCATTGATACAATATCAGATGGGTGCTATGCACATGGCAGGGAGTGTGTCCTCTTTTGGAGTACTTGATACCACTTGTCTAGATTCAGTTTATTCTGATATATTGTTTTATGTCAGTCTGAAATTATGTCAATATGTGACATCTATGACTAGTTTATACATATTGTCGGCTCACATCAATGCGATTAAAATGTCCGACCATGGAGAAATCCCAAGGTAAACATGTAGATTAAAATGATAATCACTCTTATTGGATTGATGAAGGGGAAGATTGATGAATTTTCCGACAAAGCATTGAGTCAGTCAATCATGGCAGATTAAGTAGTTAACCAAGGTAGGTGTATAGGAGGTATAACACGATAAATACATTGATCACTTAATTACCTAATCAAACCAACCTATTATCAACGATAATCGGGTTGAGTGGTAGTTATACACTCAGTACACTATATTAATTTTGGAATTTTGAATATTATTCATCATGTCTTGTCCGATTGGGCATCTAGTCGGACAATTTAGGACATTTGGAAAATAGCGTCGGACATGTCCGGAATATACAGGCAAAATCCCATCCTTGGTCTGAATGGTGTTGCCACTCACCTATTACCATTTAGTTGTATGTTCTGTGTCTGTATACTGTTGGGTGTAACAGTGCAGTAATATTGTACTGATCATGGTATCCTTCACACAGATTACATGATAAAAATTTATGACATTGATTTTATGCTCATTTAAACTGTTGTTATAATTACAGTGCTCATGCTATAACCGAAGATGTTAATATAATAGAGACTGCTAAAGCTGCTGAGTTATTTTTAAGTAATGGTGTAATTATAACTGGTACATCTACTGGTCAACCTGCTAGTGTTAAACAAGTTAAAAGTATGTTCATTTTCTTGTAGACTTTTTTTTTACTTTTATGGATTTTAATTATTTGATTAAAAATAAGAACCTTGATTAGAAAGCACACAATCAAAATTCATTCCATGAATAGAAAGCACACTTTGTAGTCATTTATAACAAAATATATGTGGTCAAAACCTTCAAGATTTTTTTATCAAATAATTATAATGACATATTTGACTTTTTGAGGGTAAAAAAAAAATTATTATCCACAGAATGTAACAAAAAAGGCTTAATGTCCATTTACATTAAAAACCCAAGGGGAATGAAATGTGGTGTTGTTCCTGAATTATACGATGACTGTGGTTACCTCCCTTATATTAATTAATTCACACACACCCTCTATAAACAACCCATTCACACAACTGTTAATACATATAGACCTTAGGTCCATCCAATATGTCATGTAGCATACACAGCTTTGAGTAGGCATATATTCCTTCAAATTATTAGCAAAAATAAATATGAAATATAACTATTAGCAAATTAAAATTTCTAGGTGTTTTGGATTCTGTTCATGTTCCTGTGTTGATTGGATCAGGTGTTACTATGGAGAATTTAGATTCTTTTAAAGCAGCACAAGGTCTTATAATTGGTTCCTATTTCAAACGAGATGGTAAATGGACCAATGATATTGATGCTGATAAATTGAAACGATTTATGGAGAAAGTTACAGCAATAAGAACTAATCCTATAAAGGCAACTTATATAATGTAATATTCAGGGGTAGATATAGAGATATAATCTAAAAGTATGAAATGAGATGCATTTATAAATGGTAAACTTTGGCTTGTTTTCAAATCCATTGTATCAGTATTGTATATACTCATGTCGTATTCGAAATAAAATATTATTTAAACCAAGAAAGAAATGATGTTTTTGTATGTTCTCTGTAAGCTATCTTTTACACTTTTCATTATAAAGTAATTTTTAAAAGTGTATATTATTATGAATTACAGTAATTGTAAAACTATATTTGGATAGAAACTCCTAAATGTTTTTTTTTTATACATCTGACTGAATATTTGTTTAATCAGTGATGTATATTTTGTCTTATTCTAGAATGGATATCAATTCCAGTATTGTTGTATACAGTATTAAATTATTTTCAAATTTATAAACATTCAAGGATGTCATTTATAATGGTTGTCAAAAATTTAATGGCAAAAAAATATCCAGTTCATAAGTTATTAATGTTGAGTATCTTAATTAATTTATATGTTTTGTTGTATGTTTCATATTACATTTATATCTTTTCTAAAAACAAAACATAAGTTTTATTATCATTAATGACTTTTATCTGACTTTGTCATTATTACCAATAAGATATTTTTCAGCATTACCAGTTTACCACCCTTTGCTTTGTTTTTACAGGATATTGTCATAACTAACTGTACAAAACTGATATTTAATCACTTTTCAACATGTAAGATTTAGTAGCTTTGACTCATTTATTTACATTCAGTATCTCTCTTGAAAGAAACATAATACATAATTGATGAATAACTGGATTACTTCATGAAGATTGGCCTGTAATTGTTCCAGTTATCATTAGCTTCACAAGAGTAGTTAGTCATCTTTTGTTGGTATTATATGGCAATAGAAGCTGAATATGTGTCCATATATAAACATCCACTAAAAATATTCTTTAACTTTCACCAGCACAATAACTTGTCATATTTTAATCATTCTCCTGCAACAATGCGGTTTGGGGTTAAAGGGGTAAAGTAAAGAATCGTCTTGAAGGAGAACTGATTCCATGCATATTTACTTAGATAACTGACAGTTGATAAAGTTTGTTACACTACATATTGACAAGATTGACATTCATAGACTATTTTTCCTTAGCAACAAGAGAGCCACAGTGGTTAAGTGAGTAAGACGCTGGCTCCTAGTCTGGAGGATGTGTGTTCGATCCCTGCATTGGCAGAGAAAGTTCATCAGGATTCTCAGGCGTGGTTTTGCCTTGTGCAGGAAGAAGGGCCTGACAAGGACAGCTGTCTAGTCATTCGTATGGGACAAAAAACTGAGGTTTTGTGTATGCATTGGGGTGTATGTAAAAGATCACTTGGCAGTTGGAATTCGATATAAGAGTAGGCCATAGTGCCGCTGCCCGGGGAAAAATTTCCTTCAGCATATACTGTATGGCATATGCTGTCTTCATTAGCCCAGTTGGAGCAGAACAGGACATTAAACCCCATTTCATTTCATTTCCTTAGCAACAACTTGCAATACCAGTGCAGGGTTTGATTCTGTAAGTACATGTAATACAAATCAGCAGGTGGCATACTTTCAACCAGATCTCTGGTAAATCCAACACATGGGAAAAAGATACAGGCCTTAGATAATAGAGGACTGATAAAGGAACGGAAATAAAACAAAGTACAAATATATGAAAGGACTTTATACAGTCTAAATAGTTACCTACACCCAAGTTTGTAGTTTTTTTTTTATTTCAAAACAGCCGAGACCATTTTTATATTTATCATGTTATCTTCATGAACTAGTGCTGTTTACACATTTTATAATAAGGTTTTTTTGTTACTTGATCAGTCCAGCTTTTTACAGTTTGGTAAAGTCTATTTTATACCAAACATTGTTATTATTTTTTATTTCAGTTTTACCTAGCAAAAAATGTTCTTTAGGTAGTTTAGATTTCAGGCTGCTGTGTTGATGTTAACTATCTTTTTACTAATTATCACCCATCTGTCAATCTTGGACTGACTTTTTTACGATTTTAAGTAAAGATTAGACTATATCTTTCTGACTTTTCACAGATTGAAATGAGGAAAGATGAATTAATCATGTCATTTGTTTCTAAGTTATATAACATTTTTTCTCTTGTTGTGTTACGGATAAATTTGTACCAGTATATCTACATCTGGGTGCATCACGTTTTTCTTTTTAAAATCAATTATCTTCAGATGATGCATTAGAGTCAAGGGTTTTTTCTTGAACAAAAAATAAAAATTAGTTAGATGTTTTATTTCATCAGATGCCATTGAATATTTTTTTGAATATTTTTCTGAAAGTTAATTAAAATCTTTATATAAATTCATGAGAATTGAGTTCAAGTCGAGCGATAAAAGATATGTTTATATTCAGCAAGTGCTTATTCACGATCTGTGATTTATCATCTTCAAGTTGTCAGTAAAATTTCCTATATCTAGATACAAAGGTTGATAAAACTTTTTATAATTAAACTTGGAGATTTGTGAGATACATCCTGTGTCAGGCATATGTTAATTAAAGTGAGTCCTTATTTCCGATGCTCTTATAAATTAAAATGATGGCAATCACAGGTGGATATTAATTTGTTCATATTTAAAACATTTAGATAATTCTGAACATATCCATAATTGCTGATTAAGGCCCCAGTGGCTCATTGAGTATAGCACTGGCTCACAGATCCCGGGTTCGATCTCAGTGTTGGCCAAGACAGTTTCTTGTGATTTTCCAGCATAGTTTTCTGGATAGAGTGCCTGCCAGAGTATCTAGTCATTTGAATGGGGCAAAAAACTGGGGGCCACTCGAATACTGGTTGACCTACACATACAAGAACATTGACAGTTATTATTTGGGAAACACTGCTTTTCCCATCATAATATTTTTTATAAGTAATTCTACCTAATGTTAATTATTATCCAACTCAACTATTTATATTGTAATTTTACATTGGGTTTTATAGGAACAGTGTGACTGACAACCTTCAGTACATTCATTTAGTAAAGAGCTAATAATGAATGATTGCAGAAGTTAAGTGATTTTAAGATTTCATAGTTATTGGTTCCATTATTTTCTACAAGTGTCATAAATCCTGTATTGTTTTAAATATTTTTTATTCAATTTGATAAAATCATTATTGTATTCAATTTATTCATATAAGAATGTGAACATTTATTTTCCTTTATAAAGCAGGATGTTATGGTTTATAAGTATTCACAAAAATAACAAAAGAAATGTAAATATAGTCATTGTTAATAGGTGCCAGCTGTTATCAGGCATGTATTAAATCAACCAATATTGAAATACAGCCAGAAATTTCATATTCAATAATTATTATACATCCACTGGATGCCCTTGTCAATAAATAATTTATACCTGTGTTTATTTAACAATCATATTTTATTAACTGTATAATATAATCAATTATTCTTTTCTAACTTGTGGACATATGTTACAAAACATAAGTGTCTAGAACTAGTTTCCTTAAGATCATTTGATAGTTTGTGTGACATGTATAATGATTGATAGAAGTTTCTATTAAGAAAAAATGGGAACCTACACATTTATATAACTGCAGTGTATTTGTGACTGTATTGGAATATTCAAGTCATAATTCTGACTGCATTTTCTTGACCCAAAACCTGGCCATTAAAGATATATTTCCTTGTAATTATATATTTTGCAAGCTAATTCAGTTTCAATTCTAAAAATCAGTGCCATTGCAAGTGCAGTCATTAAGCAATAGTTGAATTGTCTGTCTATAATTTTATATTTATAGATCATAAGAAATACCATAATTTTTCAGGTTGCATTACTTGACATGATATACCTTAAGGCAACATTATATATATATATATATATATCTTTATAAAATAGTAAACTTTTTTCTATGAAGTACTGTATTCAGATATTTATTTGTATTGATTTATATTGATAATATATCTAGTCAGTAAAAATTCAGAAATTACTACACAACATGCCCTATGTAACCATTTATTACTCATTCATAATTTGTATATTTAAGTCTTCTTATTCTATTTTAGACTTGCATTCATTACCAGGATTAGGAAGTTGTGTTACAGAATAGTAGACAAATTACCACCCTTTCTTCAAATAAATAATACATTATATCTCATAATTGCCATTGATTTATTGACTGTATGATATATGTTGAGATATTACAATTATCCTGATATTTTAGCACAGCATTGAAAAGTTATAATGCTATTTACCTAATGGTTTATTAAAGATTGATTTTTATTTGTTACACATTATTTTTCTTGTAATCTCATAATAAAGCTTACATAAAATTTAAGGATTTTTAATGTGGTATATACACCTACATACTGTCGTCATACCTGTAAGTCCATTGTTCACCATGGTTTGTGGATCGTATAGAGGCTAAAATTTAAAGTTGTTACCCACTAGACTTAAAAATTCTGTTAATTTTTCCAATTTCAGAACAGCTAAAGTTATGTGATTACAAAATTAAATGAAATGGGGTCTTAATGCCCTACTGTTCTGTACCGACTTGGCTAATGAAGACGGGCATATGAAGGAAATTTTGCCCGGACAGCAATGCTTCGACCTACTCTGATATCAAATTCCAATGCGTACACAGGACCTTGGTTTTTCGTCCCATCTAAACACTTATGTTGACCCTTGCCAGGCCCTCTGTCCTACACCACTGACAAGGGGAAACCATGCTGGAAAATCCTGATGAACGTTCTTGGCCAACGTGGGGATCGAACATGGGACCTCCTGGTTAGCAAGCCACCGTGGCTCCCATCTAATTACCAATGCATGTTTTGTTTATATTAAGGCTAGGAAGAAGCCTATGAAATGTGTGCTCAGGATGGAAGATGATACCAGATTTTAATATTTCACCCACTTTGATAGGCGCAGGATAACATTTTGCCAATGTTCAAAATTATTGTCAAATAGCGATTATTGTGAACTGAATATACAGTTGATCCCCCAATTATTTAGCATAATGTGTACCTCAAGAATTCAAAAGAACAGGCCTCATCATCAAATTAAGATATAAATCACCTGACAAAAGCAATGGAGTAATTTTATTGTATAGACCAATCCTTAATTTGACCGTGTCCAATCACTTGCTGTAAGGGGGCTGTTTCAGTGTAAGTCTTGCAGCATCCTTGCAACTTTTTATTATCACCAAACCCACTTCAATTCTCAATACAAATTCCTTTACAACCGGTATGATGGTATGACTGGTTACCTGGATAGTCTTGGTTCCTTGTGTATGTGACTCAAGTGAAACTGTAACAGCTATTTTGTTCCAGTTTTCTCACTGTCCTTCTGAAAGTGAAACACTCTTAAGCAAGCTTCAACTAGTATACTATAAGTTTAATGGAACCTCTTTTAAAACAACAGTAGAGAATTCATTGACATGTTGCTTCATCATTTTCTTTATAAATGAAACACTGCTAGGGGCTTTTCAACAACTTAACAATGTTATTATAAGTATTGATCTTTGATTTGGGGTTGTAATTATCTATTTACATATTTTTCTTCTTTACATCTTCCTTTCAGATTTAATTAAGTCTGTTGAAAATTTTATCGTATATATTATGCATGCCTACCATTTTACTTGCATGATAAATACCGGTAAGACAGACTTAGGAAATGAAATGAAATGGGGTTGAATGTCCTACTGTTCTGTTCCAACTGGGCTAATGAAGACAGGCATACACCACATAGTGTGCTATGAGGGAAATTTTGCCCGGGCAGCGGCACTATAGCCTACTCTTATATCGAATTCCAACTGCCAAGGGATCTTTTACATGCATGTCAATGTGTACATGGGACCTTAATTTTTCGTCAAATCCAAACGACTAGACAGATGTCCTTGTCAGACGCCCTATCCTGCACCACTGACAAAGGGTCGGAAAATCCTGACGAACTTTCCCGGCCAATGCAGGGATCAAACACGCGACCTCCAGGCTAGCGACCCAACGTCTTACCCGACAATGTAAAATACTAAACTTTCAAGTAGTATTATCAACCATGAAAGCATTTTATTTATTTTACCATCAAGTATGTTTATATTAAATGATATCCACCACTTCAGCCATTTATTAGATTCTATAATATACATTAGTGAGCGAGAAACACAAACTAGGTCATTTTGGGACTAACATATGATCCAATTATATTTCAATAACAAGAGGAGCCAGGGAAAGCTCTCAGGATAGACAGGAAACCCTACTCTTTGTCACATACAAGCTTGAGATCCACTGGACTCAATGCCAGACCTTGTGATCTAAAGTGCATATTTTAGACCATTGTCAGGTGGCTTTCAAGATTCAACAGTAATTACACTAAGGGGTAGTGTCACCAATATCGAAAGTAATCCATGCATGGGCTAATCACAGCTATTTATATTTTTGTCACTAGGTGTCTGAGAGTAACTTTAGACAAACTAGTTCTTTGGTAAGAAAGAAATGAGGTTTTACTTCCTTTTTATGGGACAAAACTAGAGACACCAGGTAAAATCCAAAATTGAAACTAGCAACTCTACCCCCTACATACATTTCTGGGGTCACCCTCTCCAGTCCCCCAGCTCTGTGCCAGTTATGGTACCTTATAATTGTAATTGTGACCAGGGTTCTGTTTGAGAGCTCAAAAGGTGAGGAAGTTGGTGATCCAATTTCACCTTTGTCACTTCAAAGTAGAGCAGAAAGATAAGGATTTGTTTTAAAAGATGAATAATTTAATTCTCTTTATAAGCAAGATAATTTACAAGAAGGCAGTTATATTATATAATCATATATATAATACATACCGCACAATATCGCAGTAAATATTTTGAATTCAATTTATATATATACATAACTTGACCTTTTAAAGGTTCACAGATACACAGAACTAATACTTAAATAAATAAAACAATACCTACATTATAGGCTTTTCTCTAATGATGTATTCAACAATTATTGAACAAAAATGTCACAGCTCATTTGTAAAATCATTTTGGCCCAGATGAAAATCTATAACAAATAAAATCTCCAAATTCCCATTAAATCAACTATAGTTGAGTTAATTATAATTGTTAAATTGTCTAGTAAATAAATTAAAACACATTTTCAATACCCTTAAATATAACTAATAAATAACAAACAAATGAAGGGACTACAAGCTCTATTAAATTTCCAGGTTCCGCTGAAGCCAATTTCATCTGCTTATTTGTGGTCTCCAAGGGTACACTTTAAACATTTTTCATCATAACATTATATTTGGTATTTTAAAGCAGATTAGTGCGATATAACTACCCCATTTCTTCCAAGTTCTGCAACCCTCTAAAATCCTGCATTTTTGTTAAATAAAATCAACAGTTTTGGTCTTAACCATCTAATAATAAAAAGTCTAATACTAATATGGGGATGTGTAAACGACGGATATCATATCATTCAATATTCAGTTATCTTTCGAAATATTCCAATTTATGATGATAAAACTTATTCTTAAAGTGATTTATTTGGAGACCAAAAAAGTGGGAACAAATGGCAATTCTAATCCAAGCCTGTTCTCCCTTTAGTTATACTGCCAGCAAATAATTAATAAATAATGCTTTACAGATTCACAAATAAATATATCAGAATAATATTAATAACTCTAAAATTCTTAAAGGCTCAATACCACTCTTGTTGTAACTGAATAATATGTCCCAATTTTTATTCTGGTCAACAAATTGTACTATTTTAGAATATTTCAATTAATTGATGATACAAATTTCATCTTAACACACCTTATTTAAAAATTTTGAAAAATTCAACATAATGGTTTGAAACGTCTAACGTAAACCTTTTCAAATGAAACATCGATTTAAAAATATTTTCGAACTCTCTGGACAAGTAAAATAGGATGTAATGGATAATTTACACAACAGGTAGGACACTTAAACATGTAGTACTTAGATAGAGATATTATTTATTTTCTGGAGCTTTCAAGCCAGCAAGAGTGTTCCTTTAATAAGTTTAATTCACTAATACTTAGCACAATTCAAACTAAAGTTAAACATTATTGATCTCTTATTAAAAATATATATATAAATACTATATGACAAATGTGATTAGTATTGGTAAGATATTCAGATGTGTTTAAACTAAATTGGTAAGAATGAAAGATTCTGTTAAATTAAATTGGTAAAATGGAGGATACTATTTAAATCAAATTGGTTAAAGATGAAGGAAGTCGTTTAATCAGATAGGAAATATTCCTATTCCTATATTCAATATATTTCCTTGATAGAAAAATTTACCAACTTTAAATCATCAATCCTAGATATAACAGGAAACTAAATGCCAAAATGAGGCCCTGTAGATTAATTACCAGGGTTACGTAATTCATTTAAAGAACTTCATTTTTCAATTGTATAAATGATTTGAAAATTGTGATTATCACTATAATTTCACAGTACATAGACAGCATTTCTTTAATAACAAATACCTCCGAGCTTCAAATTAACCAGTTTTATTCACTAAAATATATCCTTTAATTCATCCCAATATAATCTAACATTTTACCTTACAAATAACATGATCACAGAGCAATTGCACTGATAAATTATAGCAATAGTTTGACATTTTTATCTGCATATTATATCACAGGAAACAAATACTATAATTAGATATTAGTTGTGTGACATTCCATATCTCATTTATATCTTGCCATAGATGTTAAGCATTAGACAAAATTACATTTATATGAGCCAGAAATATTTGAATTTAACAAAACAAAAGTGCCCAATGGCATTCTATTCTTTGGATAGTAATTTAAGATGATTACGTCAAAAAAATAATTATACAAAAATTTAATAATTTATACCTTGTTTCATACTGACAAATAGTTTGGCAAATAGTGTGGGAGGAAATATTCAATTCACCCACTGTTAACTAAAAATGTTTAGATTAAAATACTTTGGGTTATTACTGGCAGAAGGAATAATTCATGTGTATTGGTGGATCACTGGTAGAAGAAATAATTAATGTGTATTTGTGAAGGCCATTCCACGTTTAAATCTACCTGCATGGGTAAGAATGCCACTTTGATAAGGCTACCCCAACCCCCAGGTAATTCTAAATCGAATAGCACTAATATAATCCAATGTGAAAGGAAATTGGATTATAATTTTATATTGCGAGGTACTGTGAAATGTTAATCTCACATTGGCCTGGTTGAATCATTAAATCCATAGATGCAATTCTAGTGGAAGGGTACATGACCACTGCAGCATAACAATTTTGACAATTTTTGTAGCAGATGATGAATTCACAATTCAGTGAACTTTATTTGGCAATGTGAATGCAAAATATTATTCGCACATAAAAGGTGCAGGTCACAAAAAGTTTGGCTAAACATTCGCCAGAAGACTCCACAAAGTCTTAATATTGAAAATTAAAAATAAGAAATGTATTCTTTAATACAACATTCATTCTATGGAATGCATCACATATATATAAAATATATATAATATAATGTTTTATTCAAATTAATCATTATGATTAACTATTTAGTGGCAGCTTAATTGACTGTCAGTTGGTTAATTTCACTGCCAGTCAGTCAAAACTGACAAAATAGGACTGAAATGGGAGCCCTGCAACAAATGCATCAAAATTATTAGCCATTTCCATTTCCCCCAAAATTTCAACATAAAAGACTTAGTCATATTGTCAAATAAAATCTTCAAGGTTTTGGATTTTATAGAATTTAACAAAGCAACATATTCTATAAATATCACTCGATTCTTTACCCTGGTGATTCATTTTGCTTCCAATACAACATTCTCAGACCTCTATTAAGAAAATATATTATAGATCTAAAAGTTACAAATGATCTATTACGAGCATCCTGTGTGAATGCATGTAGTCAAATCAAGTAAAATTGATCACTCTTTCCTCTTTAAACCAATAAACTGGAATCAATATATGACATATCTAACTATTTTCTGTCTACTTGCAATATATGTATTTCTTACAACCAATGATGTATGTGATGTTTTATTTTGAGTGTAACTATGTGTGTGTCATCATGGCAGGCTTATTGTTATCTAAGATTCTGACAAGTAGACTTGTTCTATTCTGTAAAATTGATGACATTTTTTAAATAAAAAAACCATGATTTATAGATTTGTTAAAAACCATACCACATAATTTTATACACAAGGCAGAAAGTCATTCATCTGTTTTTTCACATTAATTCTTGATGGTAAAAAACACTAATAAATTTTGCTGCTATGAGACTTCTTCGATTACATTATTGACAGTTCACATTAATTGAAACAGTCCTTTTTTTTCTTGTTAAAAAGGTGAAATGTTTAAAATGAATAAAACAATATATTTATAAGATCACGTTAAAATATCAACAGTTAGCTGCCTCCACGCGCCCATTTACAGCTAATAACGATGTAGAACTCTGTTCCGGTAACTGTGAGGTATCGTCAGCACCATCTGGTGGAGTTTTATTTAACAGATGTTGATAATGATGAACCTCCACGTTATCTCGCACAGGGTCTAATAATTGTTCATAATTTGAGCAATTTGAAGTGTTTGATATAGAATCATAGTCGTTAGAAGATTTCGGGTTCAGTAAGGAGGGAGAATCTTCAGCACTATTAATGTCTTTTTTCACACCACAGTTATAATAGTTTTTCTCAGTATCTGAGCAAATGTCATCACTTGCGTTTTGTTGTTCCAATATTCTAGCCGTATCAGTTAGAACTTCTTTTACTTGAGTTACATTACTGCCATTGGCATAGTCTATATCCCTGGTAGCAGGGGTAAGCGGGGGAGCCGTAGCATTATTAAAAGGATCGGAGGCTGCCATAAAATCTTGTTGTGCTGCTAATTTTTCTTTTTCTTTGAATATATCGGTATAGCGAGGAACAAGATCTTCCTGGCCCGATTTATCTACTTTACTGTCACCGATCTCTTCATACATGGCTTCACATGGTCTCGAATCATGTTCACCTACGCATATGTCTAATTCTCCTTCACCTTGTGATTCACCTGGGTCATCTACAAAAAAAAAAACAAAACAACAATTTAATAATAGTGTAATAATAAGAATTAAATCAGATACATTTACATTCCTTATTTGTAGGATACATAGAATAAAACATACCTTGTCAGGTCTCCTAATACACCCACTAGAAGCAAAGTCTCCTTAAATTATTTTCACCAAATTTTATAGAGCAATTTTCACAGAATTTTTGAATTATTTGTTGATAATAAATGGTGAGGTGTATATATTTTTTTTTCATTTAAATTACTTTAATTCTTTGCGTCAGTTATTGAACATGTTATTGGATTTCACTTAAAATAAATAGGTTATTTCTTTTCATGAACATGAATATTGTGAATAAATTCAATAGATAAAAGAATTAAAAATAGATTGAGCCTATATAATGACAACACTTGATATTGTCCTTGACCTAGCTTGCTTTTATTTCATTTTAAAAGCTCCAAACATGCTAGAAATATAGAGTTTCACACCATACACAATCAAAAGAACTTATATTCAATATAAAATTGTTCAGAAATTATTAAAATCAGTCTATTCTAAGTTAAGGCCATTTAGAATTAACATTGGTTTCAATTGACTTGACATCACCATCTTAGATAAATATTAGCAATAAGAATTCTGCTATCTCTCTCATAGAAGCTAGCCCATTTATGGTATTCCTGGAATTATTTTGTATGTACATGATGTGCTTAATTACACAACAATCCTCACATTAAAATAATACATAAATTTAACTTCTGAGATAAATGTGAATGATCTGGTTGCCTTGTGCTTTTAATCTGGTTATTCTAAAATAAAACTGCTTTGAAATGTAGCTTGAAGTTCATTAAGAATTTATTTGTTCACTGGTCTATTCCACACCTGTAACTTATTTTCTGATAAACAACTCATTTTGCCATTAAATTAGAAACTTGGGGCTATCTACGTAATGATAACAATATTGATATATGTAGCGCAAAATACATAATAATTAACTTTCTTGCTTAAAATCCTAGACCCCTTTGATTTTTGTAATAAAAGTGTCAAGTTAATTTGCTTTATGAAGTAAACTTTCCATCTGTCTAAATCAAAATAGTACCAAGTTTGATATTTTATTTCAAACAAATGAAACTAAATTTAGTATGCAAGCTGACTTCCACTAAATGTAATCGCATCAATTTTGTCCCATCAATAATAAAAATAAGAATTCAGATAAATCTATTTTGGCCTAAATCAATGTGGTTCAAAAATAAAAACATTGAGAGGGACTTGACAGGACCCCAACTTCACCCACCAGCAGCCAAAACATTGCTGCTAGCAGTAAAATCCTTGTCAATTAATCCTAAAGGGCTAGTTTAAAAGAAAACAGACATTATGAAGTTTGTTTCAAATGACAGACGGATGTGACAACAATACGCATCGCAATATTCTTCTGAGCTACTTTGTTCATTTATACTAAAAAAATCAAAAGCAACATGGTTCTCTCATGTGACATAATAGCGTGAGCCCATCATAAGTTGTAATAAACTTACCGTCTGCTGTCTCATATATGTGACTGTTTTCTTCACAAAATAACGGACATCTGAAAATATACATGTTGATGAGAACCAAAAAATAATACACATAATGCATTAACGGCCACATTATTTGGCAACAGCTTAATGTGCACAACTAGTAGTATTGACTTTTACTGGTGGTAGGTTGACAATAAATAGTCTATACGAGTAATTATAATTCACTAACTCTTTATTTTTCTATTATAAATGAATAACAGTTTGTAGCCTTAGTTACAAAACCACAAGCTAATTATAATAATCTTTAATGTTAACTAAATATAGTTTAAGCAATGTTTGCATTATCACCCCATTAACCAATCAACACATGGCTAATTTCTTAACTAATTAATTATAACTAGACCTGCAAGCAGCACTGAACCGGCTTTCAGGAATCAGACAGGAAGTGTGTCATACATTAATTAGCCCATTAATTGAGCTACCAAACGATACTTTAGTTGTTTTGATTCAGTGACACCCGGCTGAGAAATCGCGATTTTTGCAAAATAAAAGGTGAAACAAATTGAAATTGTACCCAAATACCACATAGAATGGAAAAACGACTTTGGTTGATGCAGTATGAAATGCACAGCGTATACTTTCTTTTGGACATGAGTATATATTGACGCTAGACCACCTTAGGACTCCAAGTAACAGAAGTTTATGAAATGAATTAAGAGTAGTTTGCGAAATAAAAACGTCTGAATAGGCTCCAAAAAGGAAAATAAAAGATTTTCAGCGTCCCATAATGTATTGCCTAACCAGCAAATTTTTACGTCTAAAAAGGCTCCAAAATCGGAAAATACTAGATTTTCGGCGTACCACAATTTATTTTCTAACCATCGAAATCGTCGCATTGAGATGCCATATAATAGTCCATTAATGGGGCTATCCAAAGACACTTTACTTCTTTTGGTCCGGTAAAATCTGACCGAGAAATCCAGCTTTTCGCAAGAGCGACAATTTTTTAACCTTTAACCTTTGGAGATTATTGTCGGAATAGTTTTAATAACCAGTTTGGGCAATTAAATAGCGGCAGGGCTCTGTAATGATATATTACATTATCTGATCAGATAAAATGACCATGAGAAATCCTATGTTCAAAGGTGCCAAAAATGCAAAAATGTCAAAATATCGAAAATTAAATTTCAATAACTCAATACATATTATACATCGTTAGAATCATAATTAGATCAGCTATCCGAATCTGTAATCTTTTTGTAAAAATTTGTTTAAATAATAAAGTAATAGAGCATTTTGCAAAATTTCACGATTTTTCGACTTTTTTCGTTTTTCAGTCCCTTTTTTATCGTATTCCAGACGAAAGTCTGAAAGCCTAACTAGCTTTTTTATTCCTTGTGGACATTTTGTACTGTTGAGAGAGATTATTGTCTGCTGGGCTCAGAAAGAGAAAGAGAGAGAGAGAGAGAAATTGGGTTTCATGTCCACTCGACACAAACTAGGTCATTTCGGGACTAACATATGGTTCAAATTTATTTCAATAATTTTGCTTGCACATCGAGGTCTTTAGCAGTGGGGACACTGAGAAAACCCACGAGGTTGGACAGACCTTGTCATGTACAAGAGGGGAATAATAGATCTTCTGATCCAATGCAAACACTTATAAGTTAACCATTCAGACACCTAATGGTTTTGTTTTTTGTAGCCTACTTTCAGTCATTCTTCTTTATCTGATTTAGTCAAGTGACATGACCGACAACCTGACCCAGTCACTTGTCAGGATATTATCATAACACATAACCTCTACACTCCCTGAGTCCCTGTTATTGCACATTGTCTTAACAAGTAGGTTCTTTTTCACAAGGTACTTGCTGATACAAGTAGGTTTCATTACACAAATATGAAGAAACAGTTAGAAAATTTTAGCTCAAAATATTTAGCAATTTGAATGCGATTGTTAGCTTTGCTTAACCCTTTCACTGCGTATACCCGGTATTACCGTGTACTCAGTAAAGCCCTCGCTAAAATTAGTACCGTAACTGCAAGTGCCATCTATTGTATTTTCTATACACTAGAACATATTTCCACGTGTTTCAAAGCAGCAAACCGTAAAATGGCGGAGTGCATTGTGACAACGTAGACGATGCACTCTCGACGAAGTCGTGAATGACGTCTTGCTGACCAACATGTGGACAATTTCGAGGCGGGTGATACACATAATTCGTTTCCAGTTACTTGATAATGATAGTAGTCAGGACAGTGATTGGTATTATGAAGTGTGTGATTTGTTGCGCGACGTTCCGCCCATGGCTAGCTATGTCTCCCGTGCATGATGAACAAGCCCAATGTGAACACGATAGCCCTGTGTCTGCAGTAGATTCTGACAATAATTCTGATGTTGATAATAATGCTGGCCTGCTGGATCGTAAAATACGTAGGTAATTCCTGATTCCCGAACGTGTAGATCTATTGACTGACTATATTGATAATGATATGGGACTTGGGGATGAAAGTGAAAGTGAAAGTAAAAACAAGGTATTGCAATCCGCACGTGGTCATGGCAGCGGGAGACGTGATGCGCGTGTTCGCGGCGGCATTGCTCATGGCTGCTATTGATATTTTTGTTCATTTTATATATCTTTATCAAAATCCAGTAAAAAAAACAATATCTTTTAAGTATTTCATGGAGAAAAATTCGTTTTCGTGTTAGCTTTAGTGTGAAATGAGAAATCCAAAATGTCCGCCATGACGTCACGTGACTACATTATTATGCAAATTTCCAAAATTCTATTTTTTCCTCTTAGCCCAACCTCATGCCCATCCCAACAGACAAAAAGATTTTTCATAAAAGCTTCCATAAGTACTGCTTGGCATTCAGTTCCAACCTCCCTTTTTTCCTCAAAAAAGGGTCTAGCACAGGCAGTGGATTTACGTCTAGCATTGAAAGGGTTAATGCATTGCATAATTCATTGAAGGTATTTCATAATTCAATTTTGTGGGGCATGATCAACTCAACAATCAATTACCACAATATATATTAGCAAAGCGAATATGAAATGAAATGGGGTTTAATGTTCTACTGTTTTGCTCCCACTGGGCTAATGAAGTCGGTATTAATTAACAAAGCATGCAGACATGGCTATCCCAATACTTGAGAATAATGTGGAATCTACACACTTAATGCCAACTACATACATGAAAACTAAAAGTTTGTATTCTGAGAAAAAGTACCACAGAAATTCAAATAGCTGTTCACATTAAGATAAAGATTTCCAAGTCTTCCACACATAATTAACCCTGTTTGATTCACTTAAATATCAGGAATGGTAATCCTGGTTTTCTCATGTAAAAGTGAAACAGAAGGTGAAATTATAATTGATAAACAGCTGGTTTTGCATCAAGTTAAATATGTTTTTTCCCTCCCAAAAGTCGACTACACTCAGAAATCAATAGTACATGGAAAAGATTGACCCTCTTTAAACATTGACTGATCTGGTAACAAGCATGTGTTCACTAGTTCAATCAACTTTACTCAACATCATTCACAATTACAATCATTGAAAAATAAAATGTTTGAACATTCTCTTTGTCGTGGTACCATCAAAATGAAGAGTTCGAATGATGCCTGAATTCTGTGATTGAATTTGCTATTATTCTCATTCAATTAAAGGTCAAGTAGTGAAACCAGTAAAGTGGAAGCCCACACATACTATTTGATGTACGGCACACACGACTTGTAATATGACAGCATTTCTCTTGACTTACTTATAACATTACAATGTTAAAGAAGTATTGGGGCTTGACACTGGTTGGTAAAAAAAATAATTTTCAATTCGGCAAGATCTGACTAACCAGTTACATTATACACAATGAAATCAGATTGTATGACAAATCAAATAAATCTGCTAAGCAATTATTGCAATTTACACATTTTAAGGAGTCGTCATGGTTTGTAGGCGGGTCAAACGACAGTTAAATTATGTCGTACGTAGAACAAATTGCAACAAAAGGTTTTTTGTTTTCTATTGACTCATTATAATGTCCTAAGTAAGGAAAAGAAAGTTTACCAAAATAAGTCCAAATAAGGACAGGGGCCGATGCCTAATCCAAGATGGTGTCTGTCGATCAAAAATTGCAAATATCTCTAAAACTATTGGATTTAGATGCCATAAATGTATTGCGGACAGATAGGAAGTCGGTACCAGCGAGTTCAAAATTGGCGACGTTATATCTCTACGACGTCATGACGTTACTGTGACGTCACAACGGCATATCAGACGTCGCATTTCTTCCAAAATTAGTCCATTTATGCATGTTAGCACTAGAAACGAATTCTGATTCAGAGAAGAGGATTTGCCCATTATGGGCACAAGAACAATGTGTTACAATAATGTAGAAGGAAGCTAAAAGTATATAAATATGGCTGCATTGTCGAAAGGTGATACTATTACAGTAGCCGATGCAGTGATGGGATTTCAAAATTTTACTTGTCGGACATTTTACCGAAAATAAAGGGGCATAACTCTTATCGTTATTTAAGCAGACGAATTCGTACCACAATTAAAAGTCACATGTCAAAATATTCAAATCCCGTACGTAATAATAATAGGTGAACCTCGCTATTTTTCATATTTAATTCCCGTACAGTATTCAATTCATACCACAATTAAAAAACACATGTCAACAAAATATTCAAATCCTGTACGTAATAAAAATTGGTGACCTCGCTATTTTTCACACTTAATTCCCGTACGGCATTCAAATTTATGTCAGTAAATGTCCTACAAAATTAAGCATTTTCGTGATATGTTAATATGTATCACCCCATTTCATTTCATTTCTTTTTATTGACATCGGCTGCCGATGTCAATAAAAAGAAATGAAATGAAATGGGATGATACATACGTCCTACTGTTCTGCTCCAACTGGGCTCCATCAGTATGCTATGAGGGGAATTTTGCCCTGCAGTGGCGCAAAAACACTCTTATATCGAATTCCAACTGCAAAGGGTTCTTTTACTGGAGAAGTGCATTAAAGGTTGAATGGGCGGGGCTGACTAATTTTCATA